TTGATATTAATCTTTTTGGTGCTTATGGAAATGAAATGAGAAGCTATATATTCCAGATTTTGGCACCAGTTTTAAAATAACTGTGATCGATCGAATTGCAAATGAAAAAGTGTTACAAATATTTCAAAATTCAGGATTGTTGTAGAACTTATAATTGTGCGTGTGTGTGTAAAAATGTGACTGTAAATTTTAAATTTTCTTTAAAAAATTGATAATTTAAATAGCATATATTCCACTTTGTACGGGTAACTTTTATACTAGTAAAGGTCAGTTAATTAGGATAAAATAAAATAAAATTATTAGCGATGAACTAGAAATCTTCCAGAAAAACTAAATAGTTTGTTTTTAGTATTTCTTTCGTAGCACATTTATTTACAAATTTTACAACAAGAAATCACATACAAAGGTTGTAGTGCCCGAAATACAATTCCTTGGAACGCATTTTTTCTTCTACAGGGTGTAAATAATTTTGAAAGATTTTAAATTGCGGAAATTCCTGTTTTCACTTGATTTTGAATCTAAAAATCCATAAAAATACCGGGTGTTTTATTTAAAATTTCAATGATAATACATAATAGTAGTTTAATATTTGGACAATTCTAAAGAAATTCATTTTGAATTCTACAACTTTGTATATATATATTTTTAATTAAAGGGAAATAATAAAATCGATAAATTTGGTTTTATAAATAAATCATTTCTCAGGCCAGCTCTTTAAATTTTGATACCTGTAGGATACCTAAGCAAATTCCATTTTATCCTATTGTTTAACCACGGGGAGGTTAATTACTCAACCGATTTGTATGGAATTCATAATAATATAAAGTACATAGAATATTATTTTTTAAAGTATTGTAAGCAAACAAAGAAGTTTACGGATTTCATTTTAAGAAATATCTCATTTCGCTTTTTTTTTGTATGTATTATTGTTAGCTAAACTGTCATTTCATATATTTCAACCCACCCTGTGTACACATCTAATCTTAAAAAATCCCATGCGATGCGATCATGTAGTAAAATCCAACCAAAACCCATGCATGAAAAAATTACCAATGGCTATTTTAATTTTTCTTCTCCGTATGCCACAATTTTCGATAACATAAATTTCAATGCTTTACGTGGAACGCGAGTCTTACATGTTAATGCATAAAAATTTACAAATTAAATATGATTAGCCAGTGTGTACAGTTGTTATTTAAATAAAGTAAATTTCTTCCGAGTGACTTTGAAAACATTTCCATCTCGAAATTTTATTGTTGCTAATTTGCTTAATTATTTTAGTGGAAATAAAAAGAAATGGCACAGATAATGTTAATGATTTTTGTCTGGGCACTTTACTCTTCCGTCCTTGAACTTTCGTATTGGTTTTTGTAACACGCTTTGTCGTTATGTTATAAAAATAAAAAAATATACATATACATACGCATATTTTTATCGTAAATTTGGCTAGCGTCGCATTTGTTTTGGTTTTGTAGTATTTTCTAATGGTCATAAATATGTCGACTCTTTCTTTGATGGGTGTGGCAGTCAGTTATAGATGTATAAAAATTTCACGTGATTGTTGCAGGAATAGCATAAAACGATTGCAGCAATTATGTGCATAAATTCTTTAATTTCGTATTATGTGGAACAGGTTTAAACTGAACGGTCATTATTTTATTTCCTCAATAGTAACCACAGTAAGTTCGATCCTTTGCAGTAAAAAAAAAAACGCCACGCGAGGTCATGATAATTGATGCATTAAATTCTTTTATTCGCAAGGTTTCATTTTTATTTTACCGGTTAGTACATTTCATAAAAATGTTATTTATTATTAAAGAAAAAATTAAACGGATCTATTTTTTTATTTTAGAACCAAATAATTTATTTCGCATTGTACCATTTTTATTTTATTCACAATTGTGACCACTATTTCAACACATTTTGCAAATCGAAGCACTTATTTTATTGTTTTGACCGAACAAATCAAAAAAAGTGATTGATCTTTGAGCCGATGTTATCAATATCCTGTTTATTTTTCGCAACGAGTCGAATTTCCAAAAAATCGTGACACACATGAGGTTAAAGTCTATTCCGGTAATTCATAGTAAAGTATATCAGATCAGTTATTTAATCTAAATTTTTTGAATATTAGTTGGTCAATGATCAGGGGAACTATCTACATTTTAATTTACCGGTGACTGGTGGTATTTATTTTACTAATACATCGAAAATACATTGATCACGTGAAAATTAAAAAAATACGCATTATTACATCAAGCTAATAAACAAGACAATAGAAAATTGCGACCCATGCCGATCTAAACAACTGATGCGTGATACTGTGGAGTCAATCTAATAACCTCGTTGGAAATTGGCGGTCATATTTTCTATATGATTTTCTATTCGAACTATTAATAAAGGGAAAATCCAAAATCCGTTACATAACAGGTTCTGAAATGTTTGTAGTTTGAAGCTAATTAATTTTTGGGCTGCATGTCAGCCGCAATTAGTGGATGTTACCGTTGTCCTATTTACGTTCGGAAAACCAAGGAATAAAATCTATTTTCATCTGAAAATTTGCTTGAATTAACTGCGTATATAAAAAGTCGCATGCATTTAATTATTACTTAAACAATAAGGTTTCGTATTCGGTGCAACCAGTCCTGCCCAGTCCATGTCGCTCTTCCTGATGCGTTTCATAAAACAGGTTTTAATAATACTTCTGAAGGAAAGGTGATTCCACTCATTTTATTTATACTCTTAATTATTCAAAATGATTAAAAAAAGGTTCTTTTTGGTCGGAAATTAATCCAGGAGCAACAATTTGTGCAAAATGTTTTGGAAATCGGTTATGTTAGTGCCCCAAAGTATCTAGAATTAATTATTAACATATTATATTATATTACATTATTACAAAAAAAACTTTTCTTAGATAAGCGCTACATTGTTATGGTGTTTAAAAATCGTTTCCGCATAAACAATAGACTGAGCCAACCAACAACTAACCTAAACTAATTTAAAAAAAATAGACTAATTTGTTTTATGAAAAATATAACGATAAAATCGTTCAGAACGACAAAAAATATATTTTGAAAGTTTGAGCTATTAATATTACTGCTCCAAAGTGTTTAGAATAAATTATTAATATGTCATAAAATCACATGCTTATTTTTAAATAAAATTTCAAAAAAAAATACTTCTCTGGGATAAATTTACAAAATCGTTTCTGCGTAAACAATAGATTGGTCCTACCAAAAACTAACAATTAACCCAAAACTAATTTAAAAAAATCGACTAATTTGTTTTATGAAAAAGATAAGTATAAAATCGTTCAGAATAGTCACAAAAATATCCTGAAAGTTTGAGCCCTTAATATTAATCCAGAGAGGTATCATTTCAGGGCTTAAAAATTAAAAATTAATAGTTTTTTTAATTAAGAAACAACTCAGTATACAAAATAAAACAATGTTGAGTTTTAAACGGAATTGAATGCTCTACAAAAAAAAGTTCCTAAATATTTTTTTATAAAGTTAATCATTGTTCACAATTTTTTTCCACTCGATGGCTCAAAATGGTATTCCACATCATCGAAAATTATTATATCATTACTAAAAATAATTTTAAAAATAACAATTATGTTACTTTACTATTCAAAATTATTTATTTACGATTCTTTATACATTAATATTACTAATGTGTAAAAATATTGTAAATAAATTAATATCGCTTAAACTTTCACGATATGTTTTTACGTCATTCTGAATATAATTTTATCCATATAAAATTTTCAATTTTTGCATTGAATTAAAATTTTTAATACAATGTTGATAATTTATTTGTCCCATCTCACATTTGTTTTAAATGACACAGCAGTCTAGTTTTTCTATGCAAACATTTTTATAAAGTTACATTTAGATTTAAGTAATAATTATACAAACTCAAAATTAAAAGTGACAATATAAGATAAATACGTAAGTGTAACATTAAAGGCGGGTTTAAATGCGATATACATTGCTTTGGTTTGATTGGTGTAGGACCAAATCACAGATATAGGTGCTTCCTTTTTATGTAAAAAGTATCACGCCTTTGCTGCATCAAAAATGCCGTTGGATCGCCTATTAGTGGACCAACTTCAACTGTCTGATAACTTTTTATACGTTACAAACTTTTAATTTTCAATTGGTTCGAATATTTTTGTATTACGCGAAATTGTACCATTTTCATCGTACGACCTACCTAATAGGAACGACCTTAATTTGACCGGGTTGTCTTATATGTGACTTCAGACTCGTCGTCCGACGTTACTTAGAAATTGCTGTGTTACTTTACGTCAGGTCACGCACATACATATCTCCTATAACTTATAGACAAAATCAGATGGTGCAGTGGTTAAATCAATATTTTATGTGAAAATGAAATTTCCATGTCTTAATTTTTAATAGTTCGATCATGATTTTGTTTATTTCAAATTGGAAGTGATCAACGGAGTTTTTTTCTTTTCATAAAGACAACAATGTGTATGTTTTGCACTTACATTAAATTTTATGCTTGTGCTTTAAATAGGAATTAAGAATTTATTAATTACTGTGGCATTTAAAGCCGAATTTCGCTGTCATATTTATCCAAATAGTTAGGGTGATTTTAGATTATTTCGATTTTGTCGTTTTGGCGATTTTTTTAACTTTATATTTATAAGTGGCCTTTTTATTTAATTTTAATGTGCACAAGTATAATTTAAACGTTGCGTTGAATTTTTAGTTCAAATGATTGGGGTGGGGGAGATAAGGTGTTTCCCCAACAAGTGATTAAATAACATTTGGAAACGTTACGTAATCTCGTAGTGCAGCAAAATGGTGTTATAGCTTGCAAGAAATGTGCACACGTCACAAAGCCTTTGACGAAGTAAAAGGATAAGGTTAAAATGAACCTGGGCAGCGTCTTGAGTCGGCCAATCAGAAAAGTGGGCTTGTCACTACGTCACGTCGAGTAGTACGTCAGTGCTTGCACAATAATATCACCTGCTTAGTTATTCTACAGCGCGAGTCGTTTTCAGTCAGTCAAAGCAAAGTTTTCGAGTCGATTGAGCATGGTTGCCGCGCGATTCGTACTTTACGCTCGTGTTAGTTAATTCGCGAGTCGACTTTGATTTTTTTAAATATTTTTTAATATTTTAACACTTTCGTTTGTCCGTAGGAATGAAAATACGGGAGTGTTCACCGTAGATTGTACCGCAAATAATTTTTTTTTTTTGGTTGTCGCGATAAAAGAGTCGGGCTACTTGACTTAGACTTTTATAAAATATAACTCTGAGACAATGACGTTGAGAAACGCTAGCGTACGGAATATTAGTTTTTGTGCGGTGGTTCTGGTAACGTTTTGGCGAACTTCTTCGACCCAAGATGTACCGGCGCCGACGTGTTTTAGGTAAGTGACTTAAGTCGTTCATTTTTCGACCTTTTCGCGTAACCAAATAACAGCGTTCGATATGTTGGTCGTCGGTTGTTATTTTTATTTCGTTAAATGTAAATGACCGTGTTTTACGTCTCGTCTAATTATAGTTTTGTCGCGCGGCTAAGGGTGTTCGCGTTTTATTATCCACCTACATAAATCGCCTGGCTTACCGCCAGACTGATCGCGGATTTTCTTGGTGTTGCAGTAACATCTACTGTCACGGTCCGCTACTGCACACTATACAAATGGCGAAAATTCATCCGGATTCGAAAAAATTCGTCGACATGAAACTTCGTTATTCACCAAACGAGACCCTTCAAAAATTCGATTTATTCATGGCCGATTACAAAGACAGAAAACCTACACAAGTGGAAGTGAAGGAATTCGTACAGCAGCATTTTGAGCCGGAAGGTCAGGAATTCGAAGATTGGGACCCCAGCGACTGGGTTTCGCATCCGAAGTTTCTCGATCGCATCCAAGACGACGAGTTCAAATTATGGGGGAAAAAATTGAACGATATATGGAAGACGTTGGGGAGGAAAATGAAAAAAGACGTCCAATTAAACCAGGACCATTATAGTATCATCTGGGTACCTAATCCCGTTATCGTACCAGGCGGAAGGTTTCGCGAGTTTTACTACTGGGACAGTTATTGGATCATCCAAGGCCTTTTGTTGTCGGAAATGCACCACACCGCCAAAGGCATGCTCGAAAATTTCTTATACATCGTCGAAAACTACGGCCATATTCCGAACGGAGGAAGGATTTACTATTTGGCAAGGTCTCAGCCTCCGCTATTAGTTCCTATGATTAAACTGTACTACGATTTTACGCATGACCAAGATTTTATTGAATCTAATTTGTTGACCATGGAGAAGGAGTTCGATTATTGGATGACCAATCACACGAAAGTAATTAACGTCGACGGGAAAAATTACACTTTGGGTGTATACGGCGATAAATCGTCAGGTCCAAGACCTGAATCGTATTCGGAAGACGTCGAAAGCGCTCACATATTTAAAGAAGACAGTCAGAAAGAAGAATATTATTCGGAAATTAAAGCGGCCGCCGAATCTGGTTGGGATTTTGCTAGCAGATGGTTCATAGCGAACGCTACTAACAAAGGTATGGCGCGTAATTCTTTGATCCGTAAAAAAATGTACATTGTTTTATTTTTTTGTTCGCAGGAAATTTAACGCACATTAAAACAAGGTCCATAGTGCCCGTCGATTTAAACGCGATGATCTATTGGAACGCGATGTTGTTATCCGAATTCAACGCTCTAGTGGGAAATGCTGAAAAGACCAAGTACTATCGCGATCTCGCTCAAGAATGGATGATCGCTACTACCGCTGTGTTGTGGCACGACGAAATCGGATCATGGTTGGACTACGATCTCGATAATTCCATCAAAAGGGATTATTATTACATTTCCAACGTAACGCCTTTGTGGACCGGCTGTTACAACATGACCGAGAAAGATAGAATTATCAAGAGCGTTTTGAAGTATCTGCAAAATAAGAATATTATGTATCCCGGAGGGGTCCCGAATTCCGTGGAACATACCGGTGAGCAGTGGGATTATCCCAACGCTTGGCCTCCCGTTGAGCACATCATGATAGTGGGATTGAGCAACGCTGGCGATGAATACGCTTCAAGACTAGCTTACGAAATTGCTGAAACGTGGATCAGGTCGAACTACAAGGCTTTCAAAGAGTCGGGTAATATGTACGAGAAGGTGAGTCGATTTTTTTAATTCCTTTACGTCTTAAAGATCCATTAAAATTCTCCATTGTGACGTTTTCGTCACTTTTACGGACCGTGCAATAAGGCAAACGAGATCTTTTTTGTATGTGTATATATTTTTTCTCTCTATTCTTGTCTGTATTATAGAGACGAAATCTTCTCGTTATAGTTTTTTTCATTATCGAATAAGAATGACGGACGTTAGATTTTTTAACTTAATTATTTAATATAAAACGTACAGTTCTTAGATTTTCGAAAATATGCTCTGCATGGCTCAGTTATTAGGAAAAAAAGCAATGTGATTGCTGCATTTAAGTGGTTGGTGCATTTGCAGTTTTAGTCGATATATGGTAAAATGTAAGTACTGATGATAATATATGCTTATAAAAATATTTTAAGTATTCTTCATATTTTTTTTCCTGCCGGTAAGTCAGTTTACTGCACTTGATTAACATGACCTGTCTGATGGGTACAAAGCGAGTAACAAAAGAATTAACTGCCAAAAGATTATTAACTACAAAGCTCAAAATCCATCGTTTTCTCAAAGTTAGTAGGCCCCGGGTATTGTTCGATAAGTGACACCGACCAGCAGGTGGATATGAGCTTCTACTTCACATGAAGAGCGTGTGGGGCCAACAGCAGATGATGATTTTGAGAACCCAAACATTTCCTTTTTTTGTGAAAACCCATATGAATATTTGTTTTCATTATATTTTCCTCTAGTATTATATAACTACTTTGTAAATAAGAGTTGTGGTATTTTAGTTTGTTTTGTTTTGAGATAATTTTAGGTGGTCTATATGACCCACCAAAGTTGGATAATTCGGCTAGATCTAAGGATTTTTATGTTTGAAATTCAATTTATACTTTTTTAAATAAAGTTTTGCAAAAATCCATGAATGTTAGATGTGAATATTTTTACCACGTATCATAGGAGTTAAAAATTATGTTCGCTAAATTTTTCGTTTTCAAATTACAGTCTTATTAGTATGTTATGCAACAAGTGCGGTAAACGGCATTTGACTCACGAGTTTATTTGACACGAGCGGAGCGAGTGTTTAATAAACGAGTGACTTAAAGAGTTTACCGAACGTTTTGCATATTATACTTTTTCTACGACCGTTAGTTTGTGGATACATTTTCGCAAAACAACACGAATGTAAACGTCAAAATTCAAAGCGTGGGAAATATCTCCGAAAACATCCGATTGCTCCCAAACCCGTGCGATAAAATCCCGAAAATGTCCGAAGTGGCTCGGATCAGTGGGAAACGAAACTGACGTGGTAAAGTGGCGCTTCCCGCACGCTAGATCGGTATGTAATTCGGTATTTTACAGATGGGAGTAGAAAAAAGTTTTTTTTTAAGTTTGTACAGGTATTATTGCATTATTTGGTCCAGTTTTTTTTTTCTTTTTCTAGAAAATTTTATTACCAATATTTTTTTATATAATGGAGCAAATCGATATGCAAATAATAATTGGATCTGGAACCAAATGACACAACAAAATTTTGAGTTGACTTTCACCAACCACCCGCGAAAATGATATAAGGTTTGAGTTACTATTTTATTAATCGACCAGGAATAATCAAGCGTAAATTTGAACGTGTGGGGTCATTGTTCTCGATCTGTAGTTAATGAGCGAAAACTGGCGAAAACGTGTATTGTTTTCCTCCAACGCCTTCAAATTGTCCTCGGAACCATCTACCTTTTCGGCCATTACCCGCAAGTCGCTCAAACGAGGTCTTTCATTCCGCTCGAGTAGGAGAATACGGTACCAGCAGTTTGCAGAACCTATAAAAAGCGACCTTGGCACACAGTTCCTTCCTATCGTTCGGTCCTAGATTTTTTCTGCAGTGGAAGTGACTTTTTTCGTTGCCGAACGTGCATTATTTTCATGGTCAAAATGGATTTTGAAACGGCAACGACATGCGAAAAGAGAACGTCTGTAAAAAACTAGGTCCCATACTCGCCGATGTGGTGATTTGCAGATCTTTTTTTCTGTCGCTTGAAATTTAAATTAAAACGCCCCGACGGAGTGGAAAAATAAATCGTATTACATAAATCGAAATTGTCAAGGCTAATAATAATTTATACAGGATACGTAATGTTCGATTCGAGTTTTTTGAACTTCGAGTGAAATATTTGCATGATTAGTCGTCAGTTTCCTGCTAAGCGTTAGTGCAAGTGTTCTATAGAAGAGAGATACCTTTATTTTACATTACCGGTGCAGTTTGTATGTGACCGGTTCAGTTTTTGTAAACCAATCTTGCGAACGGTTTGTGTAACTTTGTTGTGCAAAAATATTTTGTACTTTCGCCTTTTTAATGGCGTTGCCGATTTTTGTTTAATACGTAAGCACGTGATAGAAAAGCCCGGTTGTTACAGAAATTAAGAAACTAAATTGGCTCCCCGTTACGTAAATATGTCATTATAAGGACCCGCGTTTTAGGTATTTTGCAAAGTGTAAATTTTGACAGCACTTTTTGATTAGCTGACTTTAACTAATTATAATAATTCATTTTAATAGTTAAAATTTTTATTTTGGATCATAAAATACGCTATGTCATAGCAATTCGTGTAGTTTTTTTTTGCGTGGTACATAGTTTAATTAGACAGTACTTTAATTTTTTGCATATTCAGTTTCGTTCGTCGGGGCAGTAAAACGCGAATTTGTGAAATCACGTTTCCAAACAATTAAATCAAAAATAAAGATAAGGCATTTTATTTCACTTTCGGGATTATGCAGTAAAAGGCTTAAGCGGGCTTAATAGCCTAACAAAATGTTTCGCTATTGTTATCAAGGAATGGTAATTTATTTCAGTACGATGTGACCGTCTTCGGTGGATACGGTACTGGAGGCGAATATGAGGTTCAATTGGGTTTCGGTTGGAGTAATGGAGTTGTGTTGGATCTCTTACACAGATATTCGGACAGGCTTACCGTGGAAGATCCGCCTGTAACAACATCGTCTGTGGTACAAAATCTCCGAGTTCAATCTTCCAGTATTAATTCAATTACAGCCGCGCTGATAGTTTTATTGGTGACCTTATCAACTGGATTTATAGGGTGAGGTACGTGTATCCGGTTACGGGGTTGTTCAAACGACGGCGTGGGATATTAATTATTGCATTTCGTTTGTTTCAGAGTCATATATTTTGGGATACACCAAAACGGACGTTCAAATTGTGTGTGATATTAAAAAACAACTGTGGGACACGAGTATGTTATTTTTATTCGTGTGGCTCAGGGCGTAAGATTTCGATTCCATCTAAAGTATTGATCAGTTCCTTTTTTTAAGAGAATCTTTTTGGTAGCGATGTAGTAGTATTATTCAAAATGTGATGTAATTTATAACGATTTTGTTTTAACGAAGTGTAAATGAAAAGGGTACCTGCTAGCGTGTGGGCATGTTTGTTTCCTAGGGGCATGCTGTTGTTATCGATAACCGAGTAGTGTTAGTGATTTTTGTAGTAGTGCTTAGCGATGTTTGAATTAATAAATGGAGAAAAAAAAACTAAACCGTAACCCAATATGTTTATCCTCTTTGAGTGTGGCAAAAATGTGTAACACGCGGTTGGAGTTTTTGTTCGAATAACCAATTATACACACATATATATATATATATATATATATATATATATATATATATATATATATATATATATATATATATATATATACAGAATATACGGTGAAAGATATGGTCAAATAACTAACTAACCATTATCGAACGCGCCCTTGAAATACGCCGATGCAATTATACCGGTTGTTGGTTTTTATTGTAAAATTATCTGTCTAGCAACAATGGACCGCGGTATTTATTATATCTACAATCTCGAAACGCCTTTTAGTGTCGAATGTGTTCGCGGAAATTATAAATTTAGCTTAAGTGGCTCAATACGCGTCTGCGTTTTTCATTCCGCCAGACTACGAATGTCACTTAACTGTCATATATGAACGTGTCCGGCCTGTAATTCGTGCTATTTTACCGACCGAACCACTCAGGCGTACTAATTTTTTCGGACCATAAAACGCGCTTTATATAAATATACGGTGGTCGTATGAAATTCCCCACCTGTGTCGCTCACGTCTGTTTTCGTAGGCGATTTTAGAATTGACAGTGGGATTTCGCGGGTTAATTTGACCGTATCATCGCCGTATGGGATAACTATCGCGTTTCGAAACTGCGCTGTCACTAATAATAATCGTGTTTTGTTCTCAGCATATACCTGTACAAGCGCAGAACACAATACAGTTCTCTGATGGACAAGAGAAGACCGTCGAGTGCCAAATACACGGAACTTCGCAATATTCAAAGCAAAACGGCGAGGTAAGTCGACACTAGACAACGACGTCATCAACGCCAATGGTTAAATCTTACGTGTGCCATACTATATCCATGTGTGATCTTATCAAATTATCTACGTTGGACGTCACTTTGATGGGTTGTTACCAACGCCGTTTTACTCGAGTCGTGCGACGGTCGAAATAGCCGAAGGTATACAGGGTATGAGATCATTTTATTGTTCGTCGGATAACGTTTATGGACCACGCTCCAAGCGAGTGCTCTTAAAAGGGCACAAACAAATTGTAGCGCAACATTTTAATTAAATAATTCGCAGATTATATTCTAGAATAAGAACTGGCCTAATAGGCGCTTCAATTTCGGTGTGTTCCCGATTTTGTATCGCGTACCAAGTAGTAGTAGGAAAATTTCCGTTGCTAATAAATATATACGTAACATGGCAGAACCGACCTAAATAATATACGGGGTGTTTTTTCAAGTACGGGTGTCCAAAAAGTATATACTAGAATGTTCTGCTCATATTATAAAAAGGGCTCGATCCTTCGTTTACTATCTACAAGCTCAAATTACTCCAAAACCACAAATTTTTTGACTATTAAATTCGAAAAATGTGAACAGCGTCAAACTTTAAAAGTAAATTTTCCCAAAAAAAAACTCCACTGACGTTTTCCGTTGTTAAAATTTTTCCCACGCGAAAATGCAAATATTTTGACCCTGGAGCTTTTTGTATCTTTGGTTTTCGAAAAACAAACTTTAAATAAAGATTCATCAAAAAATACGTCACGAAAATGTTTGATTTTTTGTATTTTTTTACGAACTAAGTAAAAATGCAGCTTCTTGGGGTTTTTCGTATCTCGCTGTGGTTTTAGCGATCAAAATAAAATTCTAAAACGTTCTTTTTATAACAAACTTTAAAAGCAAATTTTCATAAAAAAAAAATACTCCACTGACATTTGTTGTATTTTTCCGGGCTAAGTAAAAATGCAAATAAGTGCTTTTTTAAATAAAACAAATTTTAAAAATTACACCATTGATAATTTCTTATTTTTCAGTAAATAAGCAAAAAATGCAAATATTTTGACCTTCGGACTTTTTGTATCTTTGGTTTTCGAAAACTTAAAAAAAAACTTTAAAAACAAATATTCAAAAAAAAATACGTCACGAAAATGTTTGATTTTTTGGGTGTTTTCGCATCTCGTGGTTTTAGAGATCAAAATAAAATTCTAAAACTTTTTTTTTTATAACAAACAAACTTTTAAAGTAAATGTCCATTAAAAAAATACGCCACTGGCATTTTTTGTATTTTTTCCGGACTAAGCAAAAATGCAAAAATGTGCTTTGCATTTAGGGGCCAAATAAAAATTGAACCCCATTTCTTTTATAAAAAATAAATTTGAAAAAATGCGCCACTGACATTTTTTTTTATTTTTTAGCATCTAATCAAAAATGCAAATATTTAGGCTCGTTGGGTTTGTTCGTATATTGCTTTAGTTATCGATATCAATATAAAGTTCTAAAGTTTTTTTTTTGATAAAAAAACAAAATTTAAAAGTAAACTTCCATTTAAAAAAAACGCCGCTGACTTTTTTGTGTTTTTTTTCCGGAATCAACAAAAATCTAAAAATGCGCTTTGGTTTCCGAGGTCAAAATAAAGTTCTAAGTCATTTATTTTACAAAAAAAATAAACTCTAAAAGAAAATTGTTCATAAAAAGATACGCCACTGATATGTTAATTATTTTTTCATACTAAGCACAAATGCAAATACAGGACGCCACTGGAATTAATCTTAAGTTGTTTGAGCCCAAATGAGCCTTACTGACCCATCTGCATATACAATTTTTACCGTAAAATCTCTTAAAGAAGAATTGACTACATATCTAAAAGAACACCCTGTATAAATCCGGCAACTTTGCACGACGAATCTCCATCATCCTCTCTATCTCTCTCTCTCTCACACACACACACATTCCCACGTCCCCCTCTCTCCTCTCTATCGCTTTCATCCCATCTCTCTCTTTCTTGCTCTCGCTTATATATTGTTTTAAATTAATTATTAAAGTTGTTTCGTTTTCGCCGAGCAAAATTTTAAGCCAGTTCTGTTCCCGGATTCTTGAACCTGGGGAAGTGCTTTCGTAGGTGACCTTTTATAATTCTAAGTAATAGCGAGAAAAAAAGAACATCCGTTCCCCAATTTTAAGAATCGGGTCCCTGGTGTGTTTTTTTAGCCTCATAGCTACAATTTTTTCAAACGCATCGCTCTTGGATTGATTTCGAAAATCGGTTATGTATACTATCATCTTTGCATGCTCAATTTCTTAATTACCACGTATTATGAATGTTAGAATTAATTGTCGGTGGTGACAAAAAAAGACAAACTGTAGATAATTCCCTAGATAAATTTATTTATTTATATACCAGTTTAGATTTTTGTCGTTCCCGATCTCCTTTTAGAATCTCGATTGCTCTTTTTTTAGATAGACGATAATTCGGATGCCCCTTCGTTGTTACATTTGGTTCCAAAAAAAAAAAAAATACACGTTTGCCGTGTGATCAAATTTGGCGGATTTGTACAGCAAATAACAGTGTTTATTTGCTGGGTAAATCCGCGGCCGAATTAAACAAAAATTAAGTATTTTGGGAACCGAGTATGTATTTTCGAACCTTTGTCTCTTTTTTAGAGTTTATTATACCAAAGCCTCCAAAAAATAACAACTTCGTGGACGCTGTTAGTATTTTAAAAATAAACTTGTGATATTTATGAAATGGTAAAACAAATTTCTACCGTACACTTTCCCTCAACTATACATATTAGACCAATTTGTATTTTTGTGGTTTTTAAATATATTCAATATATTTTATAATCGTTTTTTTTTACCTCTGCCTTATCCTTAAAATTGATATTTATAACTGCATTTTGCAGCCGTATAATTATAATATACGGATTTTTATTTCCAACAAAACTCATTACGCGGGTAAAGAGTTTTAAAATAACGATCGTAATTATTCTGCGGTTAATTAATTAACTACAGTTATGTAACTTTAGAGGCCAAAGGTCATCATCATTAATTATCGGTGTATTAGAATCTCGATTGCTGTTTTTATGATTAATATTTTTTAAACGTTTATTACGGAAAGAAATTTTGTGTTTCAAACGCTGCTTGCCATAAGGCTCAAAATCGTGCTGTTAGTCTGATTGACGGTTCCTCGTTTGATTAAAATTATCGGGCATTGAATAAGCCATATGCAAAGCTCTTACATTAAAGGGCTTAAATCAATCCCATAGAGAAAAATGATTTTAGCATAAATGCGGCCTCCCAATGTTGCATTTCCGATTAAATCAGATATTAATCCGTTTATGTACGCATTTACAGGGGTAAATTGTATCGGATGGATGCTTACCGAATGTGTTTGTTATCCATGACGCCATAACCATAATTCGTATTTGATTTCGTCGATTATTGTTGTAAAAAAAACTGCATTTAAATTGAGGATCTATAAGCGATTAAATTCATCAGTAACAACCTTCAATTGTTAACTCCCATTCTCAAAAGACATCGATTTTTTGAACAATTACATTTTTTTTATAAATGTCTTTTACGTAAACCCAATCAATTAAATCAGTGTTCAATTAAAATAGCTCTTGCTGAAAATTACATTTTATGTGCGTCAAGATTTTGGGAAATCCTTTGCTAGGTATATCCCGGTTATTTTTAATACAGGAATTTGAATGCAGCCACTAGAAATCGAGATAACTATTAATTGCGTGAAAGCGCTCTGAAGTTTCTAATTGCTAAAGAGGATATGTGGATATGTGGAATTTTTGATGACGCATTTGGGATCGCATCTGATATTACATGATAGACCACGCCAAATTGCCAAATTTCAATATCGATTGTTAATGAAGTTTATAATTATTTTCAAATTAATTCGTTGGTTAATAATAAAATTGCCTGATTGCATGAAAATAAAGAAAATTAGTTTAAAGAAAAAAACACGTAAAAACAAATACGTATTCTATGTTAAATATGCAGATGGCTTTTAAACACCCTCTACAGTTGATAGATCTGCTCCAAATTTAATTTTATCCTCTTTCTTTCAGCATCCACTTAAAAAGAGTAGCTAAAAACAGCAACATTTATAAAATTGTCGCCTAATGGCGACTTGTAAATAATTCGATCGTAAGGATAAATAATAAATGAACTTTATAATATATATTTTTTTAAACTGGAAAATAATTAGACCATTAGCCATTAGTTGGCAGCTAACGTATTGTTTGATATCTAAAACATTTTATTCACGTTTTAAGTTTTATTCCAGTTAAATTAAGCAAACATGTCAGAAAGTCTTGCGAAAGATAAGTAGTTTTAAGTGTATTTTTATTTGAAAAATATATTAAATGCATCTTAGTTTCTTATTCAAAAATATTTAATACAATATTCAGCCCAAACTCTCTTTCTTATAAGTTTTATTCGAAACTTAAATTCGGTACTTCACTTCGTTTATTTAAGGAATCAAATAATAGTTACTTATGTTTATGGAATTTAAAAAATCCCAACGCTATATTTAAATCGCTGGGATTCCATTATATTTGGTCCGATATTAAAAACTCATTGCTTTAGCAATTCTCTAAAGACTTGTTCTGCTAGTTTCGTCTCCAATAAATATTATTATCAGGGAATCTATTACCTCTATTTATTGTAATTGGAATTAACCCTTTCATTTTTTGGCCTAATAGGTTTGGTCACGATAAAGGGACCGTACACATTACTCTCTAATTTTGATTTTACCTTACTTTTTGATCTTCTGTATAAAATAAGTGATTATTTAGATAAATAGATAGTTTTTTCATAGCAAATTACAATATTTTACAAAAACTGAACAGATTAGTCGTAATAGAAAAAAATAATTTAAATTACGAAATCATGAAAAAATGACTTCACTATAATCATGACAAATTTAAGGGTTTTAGGAAATATGAATATTTTCTTCCCTATGTTGGTTCTTATTTCAGATGTAACAACAAACAGAGTATTAGAAATTGAGGCTAAATTTTACATATTGGGACTGCAGCTAAATTTCAAAAAAGTTCTAGAAATATCTTCTGTAAAATTATATAATTTGATATATGTACGCCCAATTGGTGAAAATAAACATCAATATAAAAATATTTTTTCTCAAAAATATATATCCAGCACAGTAATGTTATTACAACAAAAATTTAATTACCTACATAAATTATAACTTACATTTTAACTTATTGTTATTAATTTTTTATTTAACGTGCTTCAAAGGCCGAATGCCGTGTGTCAAGTAATACAGAAGAGGGGGGTTTCCTTTAATTTATTTATCAGATAATATTATGTAGAATAATATTTTTAGGAGGTAATATTTGATCTTTAGTATTTTTTTAAAGTTAAGTTTAATAGTTTATTTATGAATTTTAATTAGAGGGTCTTTACCACGATATTGATATGATAAATTAATAAATTTATGTTGAAAATGTTATTTGTCAGAATATGCGAGAATTTTATTTATTATGCAGAATAATATTTTTAGAAGGTAAAAAAGTATTTTTTTTAAGTTAAGTTTAATAGTTTATGAATTTTAGTTCGAGGGTCTTTACCACGATATCTATATGATAAATTAATAAATTTATGTTGAAAATGTTATTTTACAGGTACTAATTGTAACTACTAAAATAACTAATATAAAAAAGGTAAATGCTATTATTAAAGCTGATATCTTTGCATTTTTCTTCCTTTTCGCAATATTTCTTGCAACTGAATATTCTCTATTCGACTAAATGACTATTCGTTGTATTTCTAATAAATTCAGTCACTAACTACTAAAATATAATTATACATATTGCTGTACTGAGGAAGGTCGCACAGGACGGAAACGTAAATGAACGGACAAGTTTTGCTGTTGCTATACACGAGATTTCTTCCTGAAAATACGCAGTTAGATATACCTGACTCAAATAATGGGCATAAGGTAAATGTTGGTCTAAAATAATTCCATAATACGTCAGTATTTGTTTTGGAAAACCCAAATGTGACCTTGGCAATGAACGTTCGCATTTCTTTACCGGAAGCGTTATTGATTTCTTAAGTTGTGACGTTATGTTCTTCCTCGCTAGACGACTCAGTACGGTATTTTTACAAATTTTACGTTTTTGTAATTTAAAAAGCGTTGCTTGATAGCGAACTGTGAGTCCGGGATTTTTATCATTTTAGAATTGTTAATATATTATTTTATTACAAATATCACGCCTTTAAATTTGACTTGCCACTTAATTGATCAATAATTTTAACAGAAATGCTTGGCAAATTGTGCACGTGTTGGTGGCATAATTACAATTTTGTTTTTTTCTTTTAGAAAAAATGTCCCTAATGTTGTGATCATCACAGATCATCTACAAACTTAATCTTTTTTTTGTTAATTTCTGTTATTATAGCTACATTACGATTAAATCAAAGTCTGTATAGTAAACATCACCTTTAAAATCAGGGAAAAATTAGAATCCAGAAAATCTTAATTTTTTCAATTGCTTCTTGTTCTGTTTTTACTGCCATCCCTGCGAGTGTGCATATTCTACTACGAGTCATTTCGTAAACTAAGTTGTCATTTTCAAACTATCAGCTTTATATATTTTACTATTTCCTTTACCTAATTTCCTGGCAATTAAATACAATCAGGAAAAGGTCATCCTGAAGTTTTGGTTAATTTTCTTAAATCTATTGGTTTCTTATGAAATAGTAACCTAAACAACTCTGATACTTTCATAGCTGGTAATATTAGCATATCGAAAAATTTCAGGACAACTTTCAGTAATTTGTGTTTAATGCCCAGAAAACATATTTTTGCTGCGCTACTTTTCGCTTTGATTAGCTAATCAAAATCAGAACCTATTTTGCATCCCAAAACATGTTACAGCTCCTTTTCAGAAATCCTTTAGCTAGCGTTAAAATTTATAACCAGATCGCCGACTGCATCAAATCTGTAAACAGTTCTGCTGTTTTAAAATTAATTAATGTGACTAGTTAAAATAGGTAGACAATATAATGGAGCGTGTTTATAACGTTTATGCGTGAATATCGTCACCTTTATGAATTTATTGTAAAAAAACATTTTGCTAAAAATAAAGCCTCTTATTATTATTAGTAAAATTGGCAAGTATAGAACATACATCTTAAGCGGTTTTATTCCGGGGTAATCACCTTTAAATTAAACCACGACGAAGAGCTACATGAACACTTCCATTTTCGAATAGGTTAATAAACCAATAAGTTATTGTAATTATATCAACGAAATGTCGTAAAAACAATTCGCTAGAATATTTAGTAGGTCGTGAACCTAACCCTAGGTACCACCGGTTTCGATGAAATCCATGGTTTTTGTTTACCTTATTTTAAAAAAAAAGTTGGGTTTTTCAGTTAAACACAAAATAAAAACTACTTGAATTTTTATTACACGATTTTTTGAACATGAATGAATTTTATTCCATACATATACATATTTTAAGGAATGTTATTAAATTGGATTTAAATAATATTCCGATAACTACTTCACAACTTTAAAATTTCTTGTGCCGCGATAACAATGTGTTTTGCGGATATACCATACAAATCCAGGAGGGCATTGGGCGGTCCGGATCTGGGTAATTCTCCGATCGCCAAATGTTTAATGATGATGTTTCTTTCCAAAGCTGTAGCCGCGAATACTGCATCTCCCAAACCACCTTCGTAGTAATGATCCTCAACTACCACGGCTCTACCACCAACTTCTTTAATATTTTTGATGATGGTCTCCTTATCTAATGGTTTCACAGTGAACGGGTCGATAACTCTAGCTCCAATTCCAGCTTTTGCTAATTCCTTTGCAGCAGTTAGGGCTTCCTGGATGGTTATACCACCCCCGATTAAAACTACTTGATCCTTTTGAGATTTTTGAATAACGTTGGCTTTGCCGACCTAGAAAAATGAGGGTTATTACAGAGATATGTTATTTTAATATCAACTTACGGCGAAAACGAAATCGTTAGGATATATCACGGCAGTGGTGGGACGGTTCACTCTTGTGAAAGTAATTCCTTTGGTATTAGCCGCCAGTTCTATCGCCCTTTCGGTTGCGACTGCATCTGCAGGATAAAATATGGTACTTCCATTAATGGACCTGAATAATGCAAGATCTTCCAATCCCATCTGACTTGGACCATCTTCTCCAATACTAACTCCACAATGAGATCCAACAAAATTAACGTTGCTTTGAGAAATTGCTCCCATTCGGATCTGGAATTAACGAGGAAATATTTAGCGATTTTATATGAAGATTAAGATGATTTCTTACTTGATCAAAAGCTCTCGTTAAGAAACAAGCAAATGTTGAAACAAAAGGCACGGTTCTATCCCTGCACGCTGCTCCAATTGCCGTCCCGACTAAACTCTGTTCGGCAATAAAGCACTCGATGTACCTCGAAGAGTCGTACTTCTTTAAATTTTCGGAAAATGTGGAGTTTTTCATATCACCGTCCAAAGCGATTACGCGAGGATTGTTTTGAGCAATTTTGACCAATGCCGTGCCGTAAGCGACTCGCGTTGCGATGGCTTCTCCAATTTTGTAATTTGGTGGGGATGAAAGCTGAATGTTCGAGATGTTAACCACTGGAGCGTCATCTTTCAGTGGTTTTTGTGGATGAATTTGCGGTGGACCCTGATTTTTGATCAACGATTTCAAATGTTCAACAATCCTATCTGATTCAGCCCCTAAAGGTTTTCCGTGCCAATTGTCCAAATTTTCGACCTAAATTCATGTCCAAAGTTATTGGTTCCTACGAAGAAAAACAATTCAATTTACCTTGGGGAAATTTTTGCCCTTCAAAGTTTTAGCGACGATTGCGGTGGGTTTTCCTTTAGTAGTAGCGGCTGTATGTAAAGCTTTAACGAGTTCTTCAATGTCATGTCCATCAACCACGATCGCTTGAACTCCAAAGGCCTCCAAACGCTTGCGGTAGGAGTCAACGTCGTGACCCATTGATGTTTCTTGCGATTGCCCCAAACGGTTTACGTCAAAAATAATGCAGAGGTTATCCAACTTGTAGTAACTCGCAAAATGAATTGACTCCCAAATCGAACCTTCGGCACTTTCACCATCACCAATCAAACAATATACCCTGAAAAATACATTAGAATTTGCTATTTTGAATGAATTAAGCAAATGCTTAACAAATTTGTACATCTATATTTAGTTACTTTGCGAATTTTTTATTTTTTATACTAAGAGCAAAATTGCGTCATTAAACAATTGAACTAATACTAAAACAACTAGCCTGATGTATTTTCTTTTAATTAAAGTGCTTATATAATTAACTATTAATGAATAATAATGAATATTTTGCTTAATAATGTGCACCTATCTTTCCTCAAACATTCTCTCATTTTTCGCCTGGCCTGATTTGACAAACATTATTAATATATAATAATAATAAATACATTTATAGCTGTGCCAAATATTCATATTATTACACTATAGAAAATGCAGACATCCAGCAAAGCCAGACACTGTTCAAGCCTCAATTTGATATAAACCAAATTACATTTATTTATAATTTATAATACATAAATGATCAAATATAGTATATGACGCGATATGTCACAGATTTTATAATAATTTTTCATGGTTTGATTTTGTTTTTGTTGAGCAAAAGTTTTTTTATTTTTTTTACTAAAACATATGTTGAATAGAATACTCCGAAAAATTATACAAATAGCAATAAATTAAAAGCAATAAGGTGTCCATAGATATTTTTATATTCGAACTGTCTTTTGTTTTAATTCGATCTATAATTTTTAAGGCATATTTCATTATACAAAATTTGTAGTTTATTTTCTATACCTTCAGGAAATTAACATTTTTTAGGTCCGAAAATCTTCGTGTTTTATTACCAAATTTCCTGCAGAATTGCTTGATATCTCATTAGGAACTTGTTGAAGGGATAAATAAAAAGACAATATATTGTGCAATAGATATGTCAATATTATTTCTGTTTTGGATTAATTTCGTGTTTTCCTTATATCTTCTACTTATTGAATCATTTTGCCATAATTTTATCTTGAAAATCTCCATTAAATTCCAAAATTACATTTCTGGCCTTGTAAAAATATGAAATGAATAACAATATTTCTGATTTTTCGTTGATTTAGTTTCCTTCCTTTTCATTTTACTAATATTTTTTGCTTTAATGAAGCCACGTAAAAATAAGATTTTATGATGATATTGAGACCTGATAATTGCTCTACATTTTAAAACCAATATTTTCAACATTATCATCTGGAGTATTAAAATTGGAAAAATGTAAATTGTTTCAATTTGTTTCTTTTTTAGTGCGTTCCACCACCACGGAGCATCTGGGTCTGATTGGTTGGCTAAAAATCTGCAGATTTACCATCTAAGAGTGTCAATGAACAATTTTTAAAGCAACTATTAACATTTAGCGCTAACCTGTAGCTAGCTTTATCATAATTCTTCCCAACAAAGGCCATTCCTCCGGCAATAGCCAGACCTTGTCCCAAGGATCCAGTTCCTACGTCGATAAAACTCAATCTTGGAGTAGGATGGCCCTCTAGATCCGAATCTATTTTTCTCAAATTTTTCAAATCGGCTGCTGGAAAAAGTCCAGCTTCTGCCCAAGCCGCGTACAGCGCAGGCGCAGCATGCCCTTTGGATAAGACGAACCTATCGCTTGATGGATCCCTTGGGGCAGAAACTTTGTAACGCATCGTATGGAAGAAGAGGACAGACAGGATTTCGGCAATCGATGAACATGACGTCGGATGTCTGAAAGAGGTATAATTTACTAAATTATCATCGGATTAGTGAACGTCCTGACTAACGAAAAAATTTAATTGGACCAGGACTAAAGCCCATATTATTGCGCCCGGAAATTGTAGGTAACACATTCATGTAGGTTGAAAGACAATGATTAAACTGTAATACGACATGACACAGGCTATATTAAACATAAATTTGATAATGTAAATTTCATTACGCCGTACATGGCCCCATATGAATCGGTCCGTGAATATAATTATTCAATTAATAGCGACCGCTTTCCATTTTGGATCTTGGAAATTAATTAATAATTCGTGATTCTCAAGCTTTCCGCATTATTTTGTCAAAGTTAGTTAGCCCGAAGATGATTTGTTTATGGCTGCTGTATTTTGCAACGAACAAATATAAATTGCTGTAATCCAAGTTGCATATATTTGTTTTGCACCGGCGTAATCAAACAGTTCATGGTGGAAAGTCGAAAGCACATATGTGCTTTTAATTAAGTTCGGGATTGAAACCAAACATAGTACAAAGACATATTAGAAACGGTGTAAGATTGGTTCGCTGGATGTTGAAAATTGATCCAATCCAACCCATCGTGTAAAAAATTATCGAATTGCATAGTGATATGGCCACGTGATGTATAAAAGAAATTGGTTTGTTTGTGTGTTTGCATTCTAAGCGTTTTTCTTAACATAAACACGAAAAAAATCTTGCGGGAAATTTTTTTAGTTTTCTATAAAGTACAGCTGATAATTGTGATCGTGATAAAAAGCCATGAGATTTTTAATGTGGGGGCTCATTGGGCCATTCTTCTTACAATATTATATATCATTTTTTTTGCATATAATTTCGGTCATACTGATTTCGGAAAAACCTTTTTTTTTCAGTTTTTGTATTTTTTGCTAAACTCAAATATTCCAAATATATTCTACGGTTTTATAGTAGTTCATTTTTTATTATTTATTTATTTTATTTATCTAAAAAAATGGACAATTTAAAAAATAAATTGATTTAAGCGAAAAAATAAATTTATTCTTATATCTTAACAGATGTTTAAAATCTACATTGAATTTTTTCTGATGGTAGGTTAGTTTTTGAAGGGAAATTTTCATAGTGCCAGCATGGGAAATATAATAAGTATTTTATTTAGGAATTCGTATTTGCAATATATACCAGTAACATGTTTCTATATAATTGATTTTGGTTACTCTGAAGTCTTAAAAATGTAAAAATAATTACTAATGTAAATTTAATATGATATCCATTGCTCAATCTAAACCAGACATATCCTCAAATTTTTCATGTTTTTCTCGAAATTAATTCATAAAGGCACGTCTGGTTTTGAATGAATGTTTCTTGCTTACAGTTGGAACCACAAATAACCATTTAGAACCAAAATAACCCTGTATGTGTTTATCCAGATGTTGATGGGTAAAACACTGATTTCAGTTTTTGCATTTTCCACTAAACTCAAATATTACGGCCGCTAAAAACGTCCCAAATTCTACTGTTTTAGTTTACGTTTACGTTACGTTATACCAAAGTTTTCAGTACCTAAAAAAAAAACGGAAATTAAAGAAATAATAACTTAATTTACCAGAAAAAGAAAGTATTCCTATATTTTAACTAATGGTGGCTAGTTTTTTAAAAGAAAATTTCGTAGAAATAAAAACAAAAATTACTTTTTTCATTTTTGGAAATGTGTTATAATTATTCGTCAACAATTCTTTGACTTCTGAGGCACGTTGGTGATTTAGGTTAAAAGGAAAATTTTCCGAGTTTTTTTTTTAATTTGATTAATAATTAAATTAAATTAAAACGTTAAATACATTATACTGACGCCATATTATGCAATAAATGTTGATAACACTTGTTTAGAAGTGGGGTGGCTAATGTTCCACTTAAACATCAAACGAGTTACCAAAAGATAACATCGATTTAAAATGCCGCAAACATTTTGTTAAGTTGGTGTATTTTTTTTAAATAACGTTTCCACCAATCCACAGTTATTAAATTAATTTTTTGGTTTCACAAACACTTTCATTTTAACGCCCCTGCGTTAGCTTGAAATCCGTTAGGTATGCGATGCTGATAAGCTATCAGTACCGAGTAAATCTATTTTTCCATACAAAAAAAAACGTTCAAGGACTTTTCGGTTACTGGCGTAATTCCCTTTTAATATTCCGTAAATCAAAGGTCACAATTGTTACCAACTCGTCAAGACGAAAATAGATCATTAATAGAACGTTTCTGGTTAGTAGATTAAAAAATAAAACCAACACGAGGTAAGATATTAGCAAATAATTGCAACTGAATTCGGCAAAAAAAATGCTTAGTCATAGATGCTAAATAATCGACAATTGTTGAAATTTAATTTTGAAAGACGGATATATTCGAATATCTAGTAGAAACTCAGCGAGCACATGGTCACCATAGGCACTCACCCAGATTTAGCAGCTTGAGTTGAGGTGATTGAGTGGATTCTTATTTTGTTAGCGATGTCTCTAAGTTCTTGAACGACTTTGGCTTCCAGTTTATGGTAGTTGGACATGATTGTGTTGAAATACTGTAAATTCGTCGAAAAAACCCGAGATTACCGGCTAACTCGCGTACCAAAACTGAATTGAATCAACAAGTTGTGTCGTTGTTGTCGACTAGTGCTTTCAATTCGACTACCTAGTTGGGTATAAGTATTCCCTACTTAACAGAACCAATCATTCGCCGGTATAAAAGTCGCTGAGTAAACTACGGATATCTCGAACGACAGCTCGATTTGTTGGGTTATTTTAGTCCGTACTAATTCAATTCATTTATTGTTTTAATGCGAACGCTTTCGTTGTGAGCAAAAATCACGATTTTAGGTTAGCAAAACGTTTATTGATTTTTTCCCATGTCCACAAAAACGTCCAATATTGCCGTTTATTCCCCAAGCTAAGTAAAAATTTTCCAAATTACGATTACTTTTTAATATTTCAACGCTAATTGATGGTTTTCATGAGGAATTTTCCATGGAAGTAGTGCAATATTCAACAATACAGTGGCGGCATCTGAAGAACGCTTTAAAAAAACGTTCGAGAATAGTTGCGCTAGTGGACGCTTGGCGGCGGAACAAGCTTCGATTGGCTTTTATTTCCGACTGTTATAAACAAAAGTAAAGTTGGAGAGAGCGGGAAACGATGCCCTCAAAGTGCATTAGATGAGTTGAAAACTGAAAGCCGAGTGGGAAGGTATTCATCGGATCGGCAATGTCGAATAAAAGAATTTTCTTTAATTGGCAATTGTGGAAGCAAGGCGCCTGCACTAATTACGAATATACTTTTCCGTGGAAGTGGATGGGTTGAATTGAATTTATTTGCGGGAATGAGGATTTCATTGTCGTTCCTTTTTCCGTTTTAAATATAAAAGGGACACGAGGGAAAAGTGTAATTGAAATGCGTGGAAAATAAACCCGTTATAAATAAATAAATTTTTCAACATTTTAATTCGCTTTGCATCTGTCGATTGCAAAACCGTGTATTACAACTGGTCCCCTCGTTTGCATATTTTCAAAACTAATTGAGATAAGCGAGTTTTGCGGAAAATTTTGATGCGCGGTTTGGCGAAAAACATATTTCCTAGTTTGGGGAAATCGTTTATTTACACAGTGGTGGGGCATCGACCATTACCAACCAGTTTTGTCATCACGTATAGGTAAAAGTAATCGAAGTTCTCCGACCACGTCTGAATTGATATAATAAAGAAAAATTATATCGCTTTCCGACAAATGCAGTTGCTAGTTTTCGCGTAACATTTGTTTACGATGGCAATTTTAACGGGTTTGAAATTTTGCATAATAATAACGGCAATTTTCGAAGTGAAAACGGTTGTCTCGCGTTGTTAAACTTTACCCCGATCCTAAATAAACAAAAACGATGCATTTTCAACTACTTAGTAGTATATAATGTTTTAATTCAAAACAATTTTATCCACTCTATAACCAGGTGCTCTAATTAATTGTAAATTTAACTCTACGTTTTATTTAATGCCGACCTCCAAAAACTGAATTTCCGTAACACACAACGCTTTCGGCAAAAAGCGCCACATAAATTTCTAATTTAATTTACAACATTTTCCGTACCGTTATAATTTTAGGTCTTATAATTTTCAACTGGGAACATAATTAAACATAATAACATCTTTTTTTTTGTTGAAAGATATCGTCTTCCACAATATACTTAAATAATGTAAAATAAAACGTAAAATTCAATTATAAATATAATGTTTATTAAAATTAAAATATATGTATGTAGAATGCAACGTATAAAAAGGACATTACAAATTTTAATAAAATCAAAATATTTGCAAGATTTTCTTCAAACGGCATATTTTAAAATGTATTTTGCAATTCATATTCAAATGAAAAGTGGTCTTCCTACTAATGGCTAGCACACAAATTAATAGATTTATGGTTGTTTAATAATTTTAAATAAGGCTTGGATACATCCTTAACCTATATGCTCAAAAAACAAAAATGGTTTTATAATATTGGTAGTTACTTAGTGTTAACAAAAGTAGAAAAACAGTAACAAGCTACTAGTAACTACTTTTTCACAGAAAATAATAACGAATTGCTCACATGATGTCCCGTTTTTATGTACTAATATATAATACGCGACGGCCTTAGAAACACCTACCCAGAGTAACGTTGCTTTATGAAGGTGTAAAAAGGATTTTTTGAAGTGTAGGCAATACATACCCGAAATTATCGTTAATAACAATATCAAAATTCAATTTCGATGCTGAGGATCCAAACCCACAACGTTTTGGCTCTTTAAAGCTCTTGGGGCATTCGTAAACCTAGGCGCATGATAGATAGGCGCTTGCGTCATGCAGGGTGGGGTATTGAGAGTTTGATTTGGTCTACTGAAACACGAGCAACGAGGTTCGGCCGAACGAGCTTTCGAACTGCTAGTCTGCGTTGGTTGTCCTGACGAAGTGGGAGTGTTGCAAGCGTGATTGGCTTTCATATGATGTGTTTTTAAACTTTGATTCGTATACACAAATAAGCCAAACTCAACTTTTCCGCAAGAAAGGCGGTGCATCACTCCTATATAAAAATCTGGACGTTGAACAGTGATTTACAAGCGATTTAGTGAACATTACGAATTCTAACCTCTTCATCTCGTACCAAGTGATTTTTAAAATAGTTTTAAGTGGTATGTTCAGCATTTTCTAAGTGTGTGTCGATGTTCTCCATGTTATAGGCTACAAACTCGAAAATAGCCGGCGAATTTTGTGTTTTGTTTGCATTTTTTTTCGATAAAAAAACTGTGCCGATATTTGTTCGTAGAATATGTTGTTGTGCTTGACGTCAAATATGGCCAATTAAGCAAAAAAGAAGTCAACCCACTAGGTAATTGTTTCCATTAAATTAGATAAATAACAGTATTTTTAAAACTCCTTGCCTAAATCTAAACACTGTGGTGCCGACAGCGCCGCGAGCGGGCGAATGTCATTCTAACTCATCCGATAGCCAAAGACTTAGCAGCCTGCATTCGGTTGATAATTTTTACTTCAAACAATGCTAACATATGTTCGATTAACACTCAAACATTTAATTTTTCCTTACCAACGTTCGTTCCGGTTAATGGAATTATATTTGAGATGGGTAAACATTGCTAAAAATTGAGTTAAATTGCCATTTTGTAGTCGATGTTCCTCCCGGCTGGATCAAAAGTGACAGTTCGGCATTCTTGATGCATGCGTAGGTGTGTTCGTAGCTTCAGGCAACCGGAATCTATTATAACTATGATCGATAAATACCACAATACCAATACAAACTAATCCCAAACAAATTTCCACATAATTTGAATATTAATTTTTCTTAATCACGTTTTAATTCTAATTTGCTTATTAGAAATTTTACAGAAACTCTGATTTTCATTACCGGCTTGCGGTACGTGCCGTTATTATTTATAGCCGAAAAGTATTTTTGAACTTGTAATTAAAATTAAAATTTTGGAGGTATTTATTATGTTTATGTATGTTTTACCTAATGCATGTCGTCGCATTTTTAAACCATCTTTTTGAGATTAATAATTTTATGTGCTTTCGATGTGAAAAGGAATGGTTTAAGACACCTAATTATAAATGTTCATTATGATTCGCAGTTCATTTATGTTTCGGAATTGATGGGTGTTTTTCAATGGCCTTGGTGAATATACAATCGAGCAGGTTCTATATAGTTTAAACATTGCGAGTATTAGTCAGCGAGTTTTTATTATGTACATAATGTCGTTTGTCCGTATTTTATTGTTGTTTTATTTTATCTGATTTCGCTAGGTACAAAAATAAAAATTTTCAACTTTTCTGTGAGTCACAGATAATTTCAAGCAGCTACACACCATACGTGATCGCGAACGGAATATTTTTGATATCCCGCAAGTGGTCTGGGACAAACTGTACATGCTATTTAGAAATCGGGATTCCTTCTGCGTCGAGAATTTGTAAATAGTATTACAGTAGATTTCTGTACATTTTATAAAAAAAAATAATATATTTTTTTTTCTGAAGGTTATCGAAATATCTTATTTTCATATTCCTCTGCTAATAATCAACAATTTTGATATTGTCAACGACTTTGTACTTTGCCAAAGTTTTGTTCTTTCAAAAAACCAGCCAGTAAACGCAAAACAAAATTTTGCCTTCATATTTGCTTGCCAAATTTCAACGCATAGTCTGTTTTTCGTTATCTGTTTCCTTTGAGTCATGTTTTTATCATCAAATTAGACAAGTAAGCTATGGGTAGTTTGTCTTGTTACGCATTTATGGGTAAGAATCTATTTTGGAAATTTTTACTCGCAAACAATTTCCTGTTAGGTGAAATCTCGGATAAAATATCTTCAACGAAGGGGTTATATATTTGTCCATGTTACCCACACTAAAGATCTTCGATCGGATCTGCGCATTGTGTGACGGTAATCATTTCTTACGACTTCACAAGGTGATGACGGTCAAATCCTATCAAGGCCCGTTGCAGTTCTTGAAGCAATTACACCGAATCTCGGACAAAAGAGGATGATTGAAGGAAAATCACCTTGCGTTCGAGAAAATCATGAGAGATTTTACCAGTATTTTCGCTATTACGGCATCGTAATTAAACCGCTTCCAAGTATAATCGTAGGTTCTGCAATCTCCTTTCGAAATGGGTAAAATATTTCAGAGTTATTGCTTGTCATGTATGTGATACATCATGACCGCCAGGTTTGCTTTACCCATACGGAATGTCTATAGATGTATTGTTGATTTTCCTTTGTTTATGCGGGATTGATTGGTCTGCCGTTTGTTCTGTTCTATGAAGTTCATTGTTGAGATTATGTTGTGAAATTGCATTTTAAAGGTTTAACCAATAAAGTGTTGAAATACGGCCATCCGCAAATAATATCGAAAAAAAATAATAAAAGTTTGTCAAGCGTAGAACACAAATCTAGGTTAATTATAGAAATCTGTTCAATTTTATTATTTCCACTAGATAATTTAGGAAAGTAGCTGTAGTATGTATAATAGACCACGATAATCATTTCACGTGTGTCCGTAAACATTGGGTATAGAATAGATTTAGTTTAATGGATTTGTTTAATGGAGTATCTACATTTTTAATAAGCAGTGCGCTTTGTTACTGAATTTTCGGGTCATTTCTCCTGCAATCATGATTTATTTAGGAATAGACAATCCACTTGCGCTGTAGAATATAGAGAAGTGTATTATTGTAGTCTTGGTTTTATTGCATATAAAATAATGAGCTTTTTAAAATATTGTTTGAAAATTGAAAATGACATAGACATGAATCTGAAAAATTCATTGATTCTCTTTCAAATGTTAGATTTTGGTTTTTAGATTTTTTATGATTCTTTCATCGATTTTTTAATGAAAAGTTTATTTAGTGGCTAAATTCGACCTTACATATGTGGTGGCAGACAATACAGCTTGTCCTGTGGTAGTCGATTTTTTTAGTTTTTTTAACTCCCTTGGAGATTGTTTCCAGACTAACCACTTCCACAATTCAATATGATTATATGATTTTAAACGGATTTTATCATTATTTATGATTTGGTATCTTGATTTTTTAAAATTCCTACTTTCACGAAAAGTTTTGTACCGTTTTTGTATATGGAAAACAATAATCTCTCTCTCTCCCTCTCTCTCTTCCCCCCCCCCCCTCTCTATCTCTCTCCCTGTGGTTTACATGTCTTCTTTGAATGGTTAGTTTTGGTTAGATCGTTCGAAAACATTATTGTTATTAATATAATAAATATAAATTTAAATGCCCTATTTCGCCGTTTTCAATATAGCCTTTATTTTGAATTACTTAGTAGCAAGAATGAGTAACCATTATGATTGCAATAGTGATTTTGGGAGAGACAATGATTTGGTTTGTTTGCGATCAAATGATAAAAATAAATACATGCGTAATCAAAACAACTTGCAAAGTAGTTTACAGGAAACTTTATAGCGGCGAAAATATTGAAATATCCGTAATTTATTTCCTAATCTGATATTCCTTGCGCAAAGCCGGTGTAAAATTTAATAATAAAAAGAGTCCTATTTGGGATAATCGAATTTACTCGCGAAAGTTCCATTTTGATTCAGCACGGGGGTGTCTTTTTTGGAAGTTTATCTTATTTTTAAAAAGTTACTTGTTTCCCTTGCGGCTTTCTTTGTCGGTATTTTTATATCTCGATTTTTCCGGGGGATTTATCCGCGATATAACTCTCCCAGACCTTTGCCCATGCCGTGTCATCCCTTGCATCGTCCATAAAAAGTGACAGGATATTTTTATGAGCGTATACGTAGGAATTGATCCCGTATAAATCTTCAGCACCAAATAAACACCGATAACGTTGTTATTGAAAAATTCCGGTGCTTTGAATAAAAAATTTAAAACGTTGAAATTCGTATTCACAAACGCGTGTTCATATAATTCAGAATGTAGAACGATATTTTCGTCGCACATCGTGGTTACACATATGCCAGCCATGATTGATATATTTCCTAAGAATTGACAAAGCCAAAATGATTATTTTTAATTTCCAAATTCGTTTTTTGATATATATTATTATTCCCTGTAGTAATAATAAGCATTATTTATTTCCAACAGGACATATTATTGTTCTAATTGAGAAGACAGACATGTGTCGCTTAAATCGGTATCATTAGACTAAAAAAAATTAAAAGCAAATTATAATATATGATAGATAGTCTGGATTTGGAAAACAAATGTCAAGGAAATAAGAGACACTAATAAAAATCTAGTAATTACAATAATTCAACAAAAATATTACGCTTTCAAAAGGGAAAAAACAACTAATGAAATTCTTGACTACGCTGAAGTGAATGCGAAAATTTTTGATTTTTACCGAATTCTGGAAAATTTATTTTGAAATTTTAGAACAAACTGGCACTGAAATCAAAGAATGAATTAATATTTCAACATTCATTGGGCTTTGCTAATGACAATACTGATAAGTTATTTTCATTATTATCTATTGTCCTATCGCGACTGTCATTTAAAAGTAGCGATTACTGATCGTCTAAGGTCCGCTTCATATTTTTGTGTTGGTTATTTTTATTTATATGTAAAAAAAGTGGAAATTTAAAACAGGCCTATGAAATTTCTATACCTAAGTGTAAAGTGAAAGTTTGAGGGGTACTTGATGCACCAGTTTTTACACAACCATAAGATTTCAAAAACATTTCACCAAATGCTATTGAAGAAAAAAATACAATTAAAACCTCCTTTCAAAAAGTGGAAAACAGTTATCGTCAGTGTTAAACTAATAAAGACAAATTTGAAAAATCGCATACATTTTCAAAACGGAATCATTTTTTTTTCAAAATTTTGTTTCTTACTTTCTTTTTCTTCAATTCAATTAATTATATTTCTCGATCCATTAACATTAATCAAAGTTAAATAGAAAAAAAAGAGCGAAAATGTTATTTCCAAATTAAAATCACCTATTTTTTATTACCTTATCTTATGTGTTATATCTTATAAATAACCTTAAAATGCCAAGTGAGTTTGTTGAAGTGCAGGAAATACTCCAAAAATTCTCACCCATAAAGTATGTGGGTTACCAAGTGCTATTAAGCTTAGATACAAATATACAAATAAATTAATAATAGTTACTTACTCACATTTTGGCTTTTTTTAGATTAATTTGCGTATTATTGTAAAATTAAAATCGGCCTTAAAAACGTATCCATTGATTCAAATATAAGATGAGAGGTACTTATTTTACACACACACGTATACATTATGTAGGACCAAAAAAGGTTCCAATCAATAATAAACAATCGCTCTCGTTGAACATGGTTTGCATAAACACTGTTGAACGAATTCTTATCGAGAGGTAT